AGAACATTAACTTCTGTTATTAGAATCACAAATGCATTTCCAGTGAAAAAAGGAAAAGTGGATGAACGCCACAGTAAAATAAAATTTCAAATCAGAATGGGCCTACAACCTGAGTTCTTTTTCAAAAAATCTGTCAGCGGCTACCTTGGTTAAATAAATTAATAGTAGATTTCTGCTACTGGATAACAGGTAGAGATATAACCCTTTAAACAAGTACAAGGTAAAAGAATGCTGTGATATATTTCGAGAATTAGCAAAATTTAGTCTCATGTTTTTAGTATGCAGCAGAAAACTACTGTGCTAGTCACTTTTTCAGCTTTTTTCACTTCATTCTTAGTTCTTTCCATAAGTATTAGTTACATTATACGGCTATAGTGCAACTCCTGATACTGATGCTCTGCTCTATTAGAATGCAGAATTATTTCAAGTTACTATTAATGAGGCATGTCCTTTATATTTTCATATATCTTTCTTCTGAGTGAAAAAAACCTGATATAGTGAAAGTGCTAACAAGCTGAGCCTCTGAAACCCTGGGCAGGTGATGAAAACCACCTCATGTCTAAAGCATCCCCAGGTCACAGCTGTCACACTCACTGCAATTCATTGCTGTCACAATCTGCTGCTCCTGCTTGTTGCTGTGCTCCTCTTACTCATCCAACTCATATATCTAAACATTCCATTACAGAAAGACATCCAGTGTTTGCCTCATGTTCGAGGGGGCACAGCATTCTTCTGAAATACAGTTCTGAAGATTTTAGAGCTCAGACTTCATTGCCAAATCCAACATGTTGCTTTTTAAGGCTCCTCGTATAATTTTGTCTTTGTCTCATCTCCTCGGCATAGCAGGATAAGACATTTGGTTAGTACATGATCTCAGCTTTATTCCAACTTCTTATCGTGAAGAAATGAAATATTGCCCAGTAATAGAAAGGCATTTGAAGCTTTGTGAGTTTAAAGATAACACTAACTGTGAAGTTGCTTGATTGGAAGGAAAGGTCAGCAAGTCATCTAGGGTGGCACTGTTTACAAAGCCAGTTCTTGTGTCCAATGAACCAGGATGTTTATAATCTGAAGATTCAGACTTCATAAGACATAATTTTGTTCTCAGTTACTTAATTTAAATAGTGTTACTATGGATTTACTTTTTAGAGTAGAAATTTCTCATAAGCCTTCCAACTTTCAAACAGTGTTTAAATTTACAACAGAATATTTTGCATTCTAATTTCAAATGTGCACTACCATTTTAGGTTAGAAATATGAATTCATCATCCTTCACAGATTCATCATCCTTTTAAATCAGATTCTTTTCTTATGGAAAAACTGGCACTGAGGAAAAATATTTAATGAAAATTAGGGTTAAAAGAATGAGCCAAAAGGTAAAGAAAACAAAAATCAAAAAGCCTAAAAATATAGAAGTAAAAGAAAGAAAGATGCAGTTATAATAACAAATACTTTTGTGAAAGTAACTGTACTATATATTCACTCCTATAAAAATAGACTAAAAGGAGGTTTGACATTCTCCCTTACACCTGTTCGCTAAAATATTTGTTTTGCTTGCAGCACAAGTTATTTTCCCATAATCTTTACATTGTCACTACAAGGTTCAACTAATATGCTGATTAGAGAGTTTGCTTCTCTACCTCTCAGTACATTTACTTCAATAAACGTTAAACTCACAACCTTTGATTATTCCTACTGAGGGACAGGTAAAATGCCAGTGACATTAGGTCCATGTTCATGGGAAGAAAATCTCCAAAAAAAATG